ATCCGGGCTTGGGACCGGCAAAGGCAGAGTTGTTGCTAATTAGTAAAAAATGGTAATTTTGGAGATGAAAACTGTCCTTTGTAGAGAGGTGTCCTTTGGCAGGAGTGTCTTTTCATGACTCTCAGTTGTATTTCAGCATCTTTGTGATCCCACATGTAAGTCTTCTGTATCTTTGGAAAAAATATATGGCTACATCACAACCAATGATTTATTAAACTCCCAATGTTTCAGTGACCCTGTCATTCTCCACAGGGGAATGGTTACTGAGGTTAATCAATCCTCTGGGGGTCGGTGGAAGGTTGGTTAAACCGTTTGCTTTTCGACCACTACGACCCGGGTTCAATTCCCGCATTGGATACTTTTTCCTGTTTAAAAAAAAAATGCTCCAATGGCCCCCTGATTCTTGCAAAAGTCCAACCCCACCAGCGAGTGCAAAGTTGAACTGCTTTCACATGTGTAGACATGTGGTGCGCTTACAGTAAAAAAAGCAGTTGTTAACTACCCACCATGATTATCATGGCCTGTACCACGTGTACTAGGGATAAGCAAAAGAAAAAATCAATCCTCTGAGGAGTGACAGCAAGTCACTGAAATGTTGGGAGCTTAATAATAAATAATTGGTTGTGATGTAGTCATATCTTTTTCCAAACAAATTTCCCACCAAAAAATGATCTTTTGTAAACACAAGGTAATAAGACCAAATAAATAAATAGTGTGTGACGTTTCAGCATTGTTACCATCTTCAGACAAAAGTACTGAATGAGAAAATTTACCACAGTATGTTTTTAAATAGTTACTGTTATCAAGTGTGTAAACAAGATAGCAGTTAATAATTTCTCATTCAGTACTTTTGTCTGAAGATGGTAACAATGCTGTTACCGAAACATCACACACTATTTATTTATATGGATTTAGTCTTATTACCTTGTGTTTATAATCTATAATCCAAATTGTGCCTTATGATCTACTTTTGTATTTATTGTTGTGATTGACCTGGCGGAGGTAGACACAGATTGAAACAGTTTGATTCTCTGTCCTCACTGGTTGGGCTCTGGCAAGAATCCTGAACCATCAGGATAGCTCAGTCAGTAGAGCGGTAGCCTTTTAACCTAATGGTTTAGGGTTCGAGCCCCTGTCTGGGCATCTTTTTTTAACTCTAGAAGCATGAACACATGGAATTTGTGTAATCCTTACACAAGGGGATAAGAAACAACAACAGGAACCATTGAATCAATTTATTTTTTTAAATGGTTGAAGTTGTTGTTGTTGTTTCTTATCCCCTTGTGTAAAGATTACACAAATTCCATGAGTTCATGCACCTCAAGCTGTTTTATGATAAGCAACAGCCTCTCCCAAAGGTCCTGTTTATTACATCTAATACATTCTCAGCCTGCAACCCCAAGACATATCATTGACTGTATTGACTCATCTATTGATGAGCTCTACTCTTCCCCGGCAGACACCATCAAAAATCTCAAGCTTTACAAGCTTGATACCTTAGTGTGATTGAGTGGAGATAAGAAAGAAGACATTATTGACTGTATTGACTCATCTATTGATGAGCTCTACTCTTCCCCGGCAGACACCATCAAAAATCTCAAGCTTTACAAGCTTGATACCTTAGTGTGATTGAGTGGAGATAAGAAAGAAGAAGAGATCTAATACAAGCCGAATTATGTTCTGGAGCTGCAGGTGCCAAGCTACAATTTGGGCAAGTGGGGTAGATTCTGTTGTTATTTTCTATCTTCCATGGCTTGAGATGGCCTGTTCTAAATCTTGTTAGTCATGGAATTTGTGTAATCTTTACACAAGGGGATAAGAAACAACAACAAATCTTGTTAGTGTTGTTTGATGGTTGAAGTGTGTGTGGCAGCTGTACTTCCAGGCTGTGGTGCTGAGCTACAGGGACACCATCTCCCAGGCCTCCGCCTACCAAAAGTTCATCAATCCGGACCTAGCCTCCCCAATCCCTGTAGACTCCAAGGACAACCCTCCTCCCTTCTACTCCCTCCCTCCCCCTGTTTGAGGCTCCACAATAAACTGCCTCAGGTTTGTTGGTTTGTGGGGGTTCCTCTTTCTTTACCTACACTGAGCATCATTTTTAAACAAATATTTCGGAAAATGGCTAAAAACAACACACTCACACTTGCCGGTCCCATGCCCGGATGAAAAAGAAGGAGGGGGAACAGTAACAAGCTCACTAAAAAACCTGGGTTCAGCTGGCCCGGCTGATAGTACCCTGTAAGGACTCCAGGGATACATGATGAGTTTGTACTCCATGTTAGGAGCGCCTGTACATGGCGTCTGTTCCTCATGTCAGAGGCGGCCATTTCTTTAGGAGCTAAGTCGGCCTGCCACTGAGTAGTGCTCCCAGTCTTAATGACAAAGGCAGACGCATTCTACTTCACCCAGTCATGATGGTTGTCAACTCATCCATTGATGTGCTCTACTCATCCCCAGCAGACACCATCAACAAGCTTTACAAGCTTGATACCTTAATATGATTGAGTGGAGATAAGAAAGAAGAAGACAGGCAAAATTTAAGGAATTGTACCTTTCAGTATTATATCTGGGTCATCAGTGGTGAACTCTGTGCCTTCCTTCTTTCATTGCAGTACAGTAGCTGTAGAAATAGCTTTTGTTGTTGTTGTTGGTTCTTATCCCCTAGTGTAAAGATTACACGAATTCCATGAGTTCATGCTCCTTGAGCTGTTTTATGATAAGCAGCGGCCTCTCCCAAAGGTCCTGTTTAGTGCATCTAATGCAAGCCAAAATGTGTTCTGGAGCTGCAGGTGCCAAGCTACATTTTGGGCAAGTGTGGTAGATTTTGTTATTATTTTCTATCTTCAATGGCTTGAGATGGCCTGTTCTAAATCTTGTTATTGTTGTTTGATGCTGTCTATTTCTGATGTTCAGAGCTCCTCCTGGGTTCACTCCACTGTACCAACTGTGCTTAGGTGGGATCCTCCAGTTCTTGTTTATTTTTGTTTTGGCTATTGTTTCTATTTCTTTAAAAGTAAGTTTATTTTTCTGTGGTATTTTTCAATGCCAACGTGTGAGGGTATCCATTGAAGGTGAATTTTGAGGTTTTTGAGAGTTTTTGGAGATAGCCAATTATGTTCCTGCTTACTTTGTCTCTAAGTTCCCCTGTGATAGCTTTTATATATACAGTAGTACCTCCCTGAGAGGACCTTCACACTAGAGGACACCTCTCTACAAAGGACATTTTCCATTTGCAAAATCACCATTTTTGCTATTTAGTAACTCTCCAGTAGGAGGACACCTCGTGACCTTTGATTCTGTCTACCTAATTTTATTTTATTCATTATTAATCCGTTATATATTCACAGAAAGGAATGGCCGTATTTTGACCAGAGAGCATGTCTCCCCCATTGGTCACCCCTTTTTATTATTTTTTGAGGATGGTTACATTTTTTGTTTTGGAGAGAAAAGATAAGAGACAAGTTAGGATGTCCATCAGATAATCAAGACCTGGAAACCAACCCCAAGTCAAGCTGGACCCGACCCTACCCAATAACCTAATTTTCCCCACACCAAATAAAACCTTCATTTTGATTAATCCAGATGTTTTTTCTACCTTAACAATTTTTTAGGAATACAAGAAAAAAGACCTAATCCACACACAAATTATTTAATCATTTATTCTTTTGTTTGATGATGGTAACAATTTTGTTACTGAAATGTCACATACTATTCAATTATTTGGATTAGGTCTTATTTTCTTGTATCTATAATCCAAATTGTGTTTTATCAATATTCTAGGAAGTAGAGGCAGCATGGCAACTGCATATTTGCAATGAGGAGCCAAGGAAAACAGCTCTCCAGGCATGTTGATTCATTGACATGGTTCCAGGAGACATGTTCTGCTAGATAGGGAACTGGAAGCTAATTTGGAAAATTTGAGATTTGTGCTTGCCTTAAATAAATTGCTGTGTCATCCTGAAGTTTTGTCTTTTCTAATTTTCAATGTGACAATATCAATAAATTCCAAGATTAAATCCAAATTTTTTTACTAATCCCTAGTACACATGGTACAGGCCATGATAATCATTGTGGGTAGAAGTAGGCGACTGCTTTTACTGTAAATGCACCACATGTCTACACATGTGAAAAGCAGTTCGACTTTGCACTTACAAATGTACCAGAGCCTTGTTTGGTTACTTGCACTCGTTGGTGGGGTTGGATTTTTGCAAGTATCGGGGGGCATTGGAGCATTTTTTTTTTTAACCAGAGAAAAGTGCCCAATGAGGGAATCGAACTTGGGTCGTAGCGGTCAAAAACCAACGGTTTAGACCATCCTTCCACCGAACCCCTGAGATTTGTATTCCTGTCCAGAAAGTTTATATATGCATTAAGGTAATACATTATCACCCAGGTACAAAACATTTTTTTTTACTTATCCTTTTAGTCTAAATTAGACAAGATCTTTGAGGTTGTGCTCATAAAGAAGCTCAAGAACTCATCTTAGTTCTCTGTACAGGGATCTTTTGTCCTTTCCAATATAATTTAGTATATGTTGGGGAGTGGCCTCTTCGGTTTTGCACCTAGTGCACATGGGGAAGCTTTTGACTCCCACTTTATAGACTAGAGGGCGCAGGTGACCAGATTTCCATCTGGCCAACTGTGTCGATTCCCTTCTGTTTAGTTGGAGGGTCTGTTTTTTGGGGTTTTCTGCCTGGTACCAAGAATGATGGAAACTATCTCTATGGTTCCTTATTAGTTGTAGTTTCAGTTTGTTAATATGGTCCTTTGCTGAGGTACAAAACAAAAGTGGTGATATAAAAAAAGAACCACAACACCAATTTGGTCAAATTCAGGCAAAAGCCTGTATACCATGGTTTTGGTCCACATCAGTAAAGGAACAGCTTTGATTTCATTATATCCTATCAGAATTTAACAGCAGTCACCTACTTTACCCACCATGATTATAATGGCCTGTACTACATGTACTAGGGATAAGCAAAAAAGAATTTAAACAACTAGACAAAAGAGACCTCCTCCGTACCATCAAAACCCAATGTCTGCAGGAATGGAAATCTAACGCTGCACATGACTGGTACAGAAAAGGAAAGACAAGCACCGGTTCTGTCCTCCCAAGAGAACAAGAGTCTTTGATTTCCAGACTTAAGTCTGTTCATCTACAGACAATAAGACCAAATACAAATATATAGTTAACACAAAGCAATAACACGCCATCTATACATATAAAATAAAAGGATTTAAAAGCACGAATGTCTCTTTTATACATAAATCGAACTTCTACTGTCCTTACTGCGATGAAAAAATATATATTGGGAGGGCTTGGCTCATCAGTGGTGAACCCTCCCAGCGGTTTCGCCCATTTAATCCACCAGACCGCTTCTCAGAGCTCTAATATTGTATTGGATCATTCTGCTTTTATATGCTACACTGAAGGATGGAATCTTTGAAATGGTTTTCAAGTAAACTATGGACATAAGCTTATAGGACAGTAGAATTACATTCAAATATTTGCTTCGAGCTATGCTCTTCAGCAAACTATAAAGACAAGGCCATTAGGAATAAATTAACTTATCTTTATAGTTTACCTTGTCTTTATAGTTTGCTGAAGAGCATTGCTCGAAGCAAATAATTGAATGTAATTCTACTGTCCTATAAGCTTATGTCCATAGTTTACTTGAAAACCATTTCTAAGATTCCATCCTTCAGTGTAGCATATAAAAGCAGAATGATCCAATACAATATTAGAGCTCTGAGAAGCGGTCTGGTGGATTAAATGGGCGAAACCGCTGGGTGTGTTTACCACTGATGAGCCAAGCCCTCCCAATATATTTTTTCATCGCAGTAAGGACAGTAGAAGTTTGATTTGTGTATAAAAGAAACATTCGCGCTTTTAAATCCTTTTACAAATATATAGTGTGTGATGTTTCAGAAACAGCATTGTTACCATCTTTAGACAAAAGTGCTGAATTAGAAAAAGAGAATATGGTTTTATGGGCTACTAACCAAAGTAACATTTTTTTGAGCCCATTTGTTTTAAATAGTTATCAAGTGTGTAAACAAGATAGCAGATAATTTTCTTAGAAAGCTAAAATATTTTCTTAGAATTAAAATTAGGTTTTGTTCCTCTTGTAGGTTGTTAC